CTTCGTCTGGAAATTGTACCTGATTGAACAATATATCAGAAAAGTGTAATATTTCTAACCAATGTTCTAGAATATGTTTCAAGCTTCAGATATCCTTCTCTGGCTTTGAATACAAATATAGAGATAAACCTGGGATAACCCCCGGAGTACCTTAAAGGGACTGTACGCGTGATTTTTAGGGATTAACCCAAATTTCGAGGGGATTATTGACGCAAATTTGTGGCAGTTGCGCGGATTTTGTTGCGAATTTCGCGTAAAAATTCCTAATTCCGCGTAAAAGTTTACGGAATACGCAAATACTTGGACCTCTAGTTTACCGTGACATGTCAGTCCATAAATACAATACTTTCAAATATTTTAGAATTGGAATTTTTCCAAAAATCAAGGATTTTAATCATCAATAAAATTATGTTGTAAAAGCATTGATATAAATGATCAAATATATTGTGCAATGTGTAGCATTTGTCTTCAGAGAGAAAAGTTGGAGATTTCTATTTTTCGATAAAAATTATAGATAATATCGAATTTAAGGAAAGTATTTCATTTTCATGGCAATACCCAATTTACAACGGTAACCTTGATTCTTGAAACCTTAATCTGACCAAAAATGTGGAATAGAGCTTCGGTTTTCTAACTCGAAAAGTGTATAATCCTAATAATTTGTTCAGTCTTTCTTATAAGTAAAAAACACATGCATTGTGCATTTTACCTTTGCAGAGTAACCACACATATCAAAAAAATTCTAAAACAAAAAGTATTTAATTTTAAGGATAAATATGGAGGTGTTACAAAGGATGTTTCACGTGGTTTAAAGCAGTAACCAAATCTAAGTATTATACTATAAAGATTTATTCACACACAAAGATATAAATACATATACAAATGGTGTAGTTTAAACTTGTTTAAATACATTTTTAAAGCATAGTTTTACAAGAGAAAAAAGAAAAATATGCAAAATTATGCACAAATAGGCGACATTGATCATCACTCATTACATAACATATTGATTATTTCATGTTCTGTTTGTACCCAATCAAACTTAGTTACAAGTGCTCTTTCCATCAAAAGCCATGACAGAATGAGCAATATTTTTCTAAAGAGGGAAAAATGATTTGAAAGACCTTAAACTTTATTAAATAAAAAAATGTTCAACTATTCTAAAACTCTGAAAATAATTGTGTTTCTTTTTCTAACTTTTTCGCCAAACAAACAAAAAACAGGTAATCTTTTTACAAATGTTAAGTTAAGTTAGAATCAGAAATGATAAATTAAAAAAACTTTCTTTAAAAAGTTTGAAATTAGATTGTCAAAGGAGAAACTTAAAAAGTTGAATCTTTAAAGATAAAAGATAAATAAAAGTAAGAATTTTTAAAAACATATTTATGGTCAGACTGTCAGATAATCAAATAAGTAAGAAATTGAGTGTTTGTCACAAACTCAAATGTTATTATCCCACGCAATGGCATTTTTCTTTACGATTCGTTGCACTAAATTTCGCGCAATGATTTTTTTTTCGTATGTTGCGCATGTTCTGTAAAACAATTCGCAATGAAAATTGCGCAATGCAGCACAATAAACCCGAGCGCTATATTGCGCAAAAACAACTTTTTGTTTTGCTTATCATTGATTTGTTGCAATAACAATATTCGCAATGAAGATTGCGCGGTTTTGTGCAAAAAAAGCAATATTGTACAAAGACATGATTTTGAGGTGCAATAAATAATAATAAAACACTCAAATAATTCCATTTATTATATTTCTAACTATAGGCTTTGTATATGATCTAACAGAATTTATAGTTTGAATTAGCAAGAATCTACGATATCGGGTTGCAAAGATATAGGAATGAGAAAATCATAGTTTGTGCCAAAAACTCAGTTCCTTTGCAGAAATATAGTACAATATATAATAAAACATATTATGTTCTACGCAAAAAGAAAAAAACAGGAAATAAGCATTGGATGTAAGATATTTTTTTTAAAAATATGACTAGAAGTTTATTGAGGCATGAATGGCAATATTTATTGCGAATCAATGCGCAAAAATGTTAATATTGCGTGGAACCCTAACGCAAAGGAAGCAACCATTGCGCATCGTTGCACATCGTTGCGTGCAATGCTATTGCGATCGGAAACCCTAGCTGAAATACGGTAATTATTTCAAAATAAATATGCTCGGAAATGAAAACACGAACCATAAAAACTAATTCTCACAACTTATTGTTGGTTTAAAGGTGACATTTTTTGCTTCTATATATTGTAGCAGTCATCTTGTTTTCTTTGTTACATTGTAACAAAGAAACGAGGTAATAAAAGGAGAAAAAAGTTTCATCAGCTTCTTTGATAGATTTGTGACAGAACATTCAGATCCTGTACTAGAGAATATGTACACTACGTGTCTAGATTACAGTGAACTAGGGGTTGCAATCTATCCAGCAAAAATCGATGAAAATTTTGCCAACTTCTTCTTCGACTGGAAGCATAATTTTAATTTACACTCCATCCCAGGATAGCAATGTACTAATAAAAACAGTATCCTTGAAAACTTAATCTGATCAAAAATTTGTTTTTCTGACTCGGAAAGTGTTTATTTCTTTGAATTTCTCAATTATTTCTTAATAACAGCCAGATATCTAATGTCACTTTTGCGGTGAAACTACAAATGAGAATAAACAGCTTAAAAAAGCAAAAACATGCAATCATACTTGATTACACAAAAGCTTTTTAGGTTATCGTTGTAAATCGCTTACAGTCCTTTTAAACGTTAAAGCTGAAAGCATGTTCTTTATAGTTAAAATGTACATGGTTAGGGGAATAACAAAGTTAAAGTATTTTAGTCACCCTCGACTAACCAGAGATAGAGGCATTCGGTTTCTTCTATTTGAATTCTTACGCGCTTTGGTCTATAATCAAACAATCTTTAAACTTACGGATTTGTTTGTTTTAGACTTTTCATTCAAAATGCATTTGCCAGCAAAAAAGTGTTTAATGAAAAAGGCTAAAAAATTATGCTTAATAGCAAAATTGTGATCGAAAGTCACAGCTTTCTGGACTATTGACAGAACTGTTAAATCCACGTGTAGTGAGTTAAAATTTAAAGACCAAAGTGTTGCGACGCTTAGGTCAGAGTTGACCCAGTTTTGAAAACTGTTGCAACTTTTATTTGCAGTTGGATCTATTCATTTTCTCTCAGATGAAAGTGATCGGAAGTCCCTCCTTCTTCAATTCCTAATAATTTGTTCAGTCNTAGTGAGGGGGGATCATTTCCTGCTAAGGGATTTGGAAATTGAATTTCCGGAATCGCCCCTTCTTTCCAGATTTTAAGAAACTATAGAAATGTTTATAAATACGTTGTTACAAAAACCCTAAACAATGTGTCCAATAAGATAAATAAGATTTGACATATTCAGACTTATAAAAAGAAAAATTCTTTCTTTTTAAGAATGACTTTATTTCGAATAAAATTTTGATAAATTAAAAAAGGATCAACATATGAAAATGCGGGAAATCTGAAAAAAAACATTGACGTCATCCAGACGGAAAAGATATTGTTTACATTTAATGTACGACAAAAAACTCCTGTTAATTTGATGTACCGATCTTTAGGCAACTAAAGGAAGTTTTACAGTATTCATACAGCCTACAGAGGGCAACAAGGGACAGTACACCAAATATATCACTCCCTTAATAAGTTACCCTAATAGCTATAGCAAAAATTAAGCGCTCTATTTCACAAAAAAACAAGCATAGTTTGAGCAAAATTGATGAAGAAAGTCTTGTTTTTCTTTCTTAAAAGACAAAAACATCTTCTTCATTGTTGTTCAAATAATGGTTTAAAGGGCAAGACTGTAAATTGGGCAAGCAACTCTTAAAAACATGTCTATAGTAACTTTAACCTGTGATAATGGTAAGGTCGGCTTGCCTGATATCCATACTTGAAATTGATCTTGATAATGTTATGTATAATTCAGGGGTGTATATTTTCTTGTCATATCCAACCCCCCACCCCTTTCTTGCTCTCCCCCTCTTAAAAAAAAAGTAAGGTATGATTGCGTGGAATACATTTTGTTTGGAGGTCATATTCACTGAATTAGGGGGGGGGGGATTGGAATTAAAAGAATGAAAGAGGATTAAAAAAATTTCCTTTTGATGTCAGATTTTTCATTATTTTTCCCCAGATCTTCAAATATATTCAACCTTGTATGTTTTAGAGACTTTTTTGTCAAGAAAACTTTTTATTTTGGATTTATCTTTGGACAAAGTTGACATGAGAGAAGTATATTTAGATGGATGATACAGATGTATCAGATAGAATAATAATATTATTATAAACAAGTTGAAAAAAATATATTTACAATGATTCAGCTGTCTTGGAACATCAGTGGGCCTTCATTTTCACTCTTGAGATGTAAATTTTTTACTTTTTTCTGAAATTAAATATGTTAAGAACATGGCAGTATGTTTTAAATGTAATGTTAGCATACAAAATAATTGCAAAAGTAAAAGATTTTAAAAATAACAATAGCATATTGGAAAATTTGATAAAATATTCTTATCTGTGTTATCTTTAATCAGTAATCAATTTCCCCGTAATTTTGTATAATATGCAAAAACCTAAATTAAAAATTGAACAAATTTCATATTTAATATTTGGGGAACTCTTCAAAAAATATTATTTTGCAAAATTATTTTTGGTCAAATATTTTTTTATCTTTAACATTTTCTTACTTTCTTCTAAATTTCCATCAATGTTATAAAAAACTTTTTACTAAAAACTTTTTAGTTTACTTATTACATGAAATTGTTCGGTTTACACTCCACAATTGCTATGTTTCATGTTCATTGGACTATTCAAAATCATAAGCCATCTTCCTATTTCAGAGTTTTGCCGTTATCAAGCTGTATGTATGTGTGTATGTTACCTATAGCTGTAAATTTTACTACAGGGAGAAGGATTTACTTTTTTGTACTGTTACAGCTTACTCTAGCTGCATAAAAGTCGGCTGGTACTTGAAATGACTGGAGTTTACAATGAATAGGGTACATTATTAAATCTGAATTATTCAAAGATATCCTGTTAATTTTTACTCTGTTGGAACTATCAAAAATTATTGACTTGTTGATAGATTTAACACTAACTATAAAAATAAATGTAAAATTTGCTCTTATGACTGTCAGGCATATCCATGAGATTGGCATGTAAAACTACACAAATACTTATGGACATGGGCAATGCCGGATACTTTTGCTAGTTGTTTGATATAATTTGTTAACTTAAAGCTGCATTGTCATATGTTTGTCTCATCCTCAGTAGGTTTTGCTTTTGAAAAGTCTTTAAAAGGTTTATTTACAACCTGTTTTTTTGTAACATTACAAGTTGATAAAAACTACGTTATTTGGTTTGCTGGGTAATAAAAATCTGCTACAAAAACAAACACATTCATAGATAATGTACTGCAGGTTTATGTGCTAATGTACAACATGTCTATATACTAATGTACAGTTGGTATATGTACTATAATGTACTGCAGGTATACGTACTAATTTACTGCAGGCATTTGTACTTATGTACTGAATATATATGTACTAATGTACTGCACCTATACGTACTAATGTACTGCAGGTATATTTACTAATGTACTGCTGGTATATTTACTAATGCACAGCTGGTATATGTACTATTGTACTGCAGGTATATGTACCTGTACACGATGGGACACCACGACGACATGAACTGGGGCCTGGTGTCCTGCTACCTCTTCGAGTTCATGATGGAAACCTCACCACAGATTTTTCACTCGGCTTCCAATTGGTTGACATTAGGTAAAGAGCTTTTAAAGGAACTCTGATTTCTTGCCACAAACTCAGATTTGTATAGAAAAAAATCCAACAATTTAAGTTTAAAGGGAGTGTTCGCGAAAAATGAAAGGTGGTATAGGCTTAATGCGAAAAAAAAGCGCTTTTGATCGCTACTAATCTAACTTCTATCTGTGGCGTCTATAAGGAGAAAATTGTTAAAGACGTCTCATACTGAATAACTTAGCGCCCATACAAATTCAGAAAATTGCAACATACGACTAAGACCGTAAAAAATCAATTTAATTTCAAACAAATCATTCAGATATTACAACCTAAAGTCATCGATTATCTTTCGCCACATTTGTATATAGTTTATATTTTTTAATATTTATTAATTAATTTGTTTACAGTACGTTAGACATTGGACCCTGGACTTGCAATTTGTCTTTGGTTTTCGTAAAGTTAATAGATGTCATAGGAGTAAAGAAAAACATTTTAAGTCTTTAAAACTTGGCAAATCTTAGCCTCCTTCTTTGTATAATTAAAAGTTGTCGGAGATACTAAAGATTTAAACAACCTTAGTTATTATTAATACTTTGAATTTTAGACATACTTCTCATTATCTCAATCAATTCTCAGGGTACAAAAACGGCAGACCACATTTTGGAAATCTCAAAACTAAACGCATAAGATGCTACCCAAATCTTAGGAAGCAATGTTATAATTACAACATTTCTGCTTACTTCAGGGCCCACAATCTTACAAAGCTCTTCTTTGACTTGGACCCTGAACTTCACTTCAAAATTTTTAAAGAACAAATTATTTTTATAGAATCAACGAGAGCCAGAATGAAACTTTAAGTAAACCAAGCAAAGATTTAAAAATTTACCCAAAAATCTAGGGTCCACTCAGATAAAACAGCTGTGAAGAACACCCACAAAATTACATGTATGCTGGCCCAGAAGAGTAAAGATCGGTAGATAGAAGCATATCTATAAGCGGGCCGCGGTCAAAACTTCATGACCTCAGTGCTCCGCATACGGAGGTCAACAGAGTCTAAACATTACTGATTATGTAATGTCTCACGTAGGTCTTTTAATATTTTAAGTTTGAAAAAATCGAAGATTGTGCCTTCTAACTTTTGGAAAAAGTGGCTGAATTCAAATGGACTGACCCTGCCTTTACCTGCGCTTGGTTTTAACTTACGATTTTTGTTATTATTTCCTTTTAAAGTCGACCCACTCAACTTAGAATCTCAAACTAAGTACATTCCCGTGGTTCTCTCGAGTTCTCCAATCCCAATTCGAGGCAAATCAGTCAAGGGGTTCCTGAGTTATGATTGGACATCCAAACAAACAGAGATCATACTTTAGTCAAATTATGATCAAAGGTGACAGCTTGCTGGGATCCCAAATATGAAAATATTATGTACAATGTTATACCATCGATCCATTTATTAATTAAAATATTGGTCATCCAATATATCCTTACTGTTGAGATAGACACACCGAAAGCTTAGTTGATGGTGTCCTGTTTAATTTACGTTAACATTTCCTTTATAATAAAAAAATATTGTAGAGAATTGCATATTCAATTGAATCATCTCAAAATGTTTTTAAAAATATTTTTCCGGGAGGCATTACAATATTATTGGATATTTTTTCCAATATTTTGGTAAAATAAAAGATGCTAAGTATGTTTACATAAACCTCTGTATTTTACAGTATACGAACAAAACAGTTTTGTAAATGTTTGAAAGAAAGCAAGGACATAATACAACATCCTACATTTCTTTATAAAATGATTATTTTGACTCGCAGTATTCATTATTCAGAACCTTAATCGATTTTGGTAATCGTAAGTTCAAATGACCCTCACACAGAACCGCTGTCATTTGAATATCCGAGCTGGGCAAGCCTTTGCGGTCCTAGTTTGGACTGTACCGCCAATTTACAATTACTAAAGCGGCAGACCTGTGTGCCCGTGATGCAAAGGGGACAATACTCAATAACCTTTTCGACCTTTGAAGGATCAACGAGGGCAGAAAACTCGGTGTGTTGATCTCTAAAATGTTGGTCAAAAAGCCGTAAAATTAAAGTTATTGTGAACTCAACACAGTTGACGTTATTGTTAAGTTTCTTTTTTGCGACGTTAATATGCAAACAACGTGTTAAACAATTTAAAGCGAATATGTAGATAAATAAGGATTCGCGAACAGTCCCTTTAATTTCAAATTGGTGAACAATCCTTTTTAACATTTTATTTTTCAGCCCTGGCAGTGCAGAGGTATATTTATGTCTGCCATGCTTCAATGGCGAAACAATGGTGTACAGTACTCAGATCCCAGGTAGAGAGTAGGGAGTAGGGAGGAGGGAGTAGGGAGGAGGGAGTAGGGAGTAGGGAGTAGGGAGTAGAAAGTAGAAGGTACGAAGTTATTATAAATTGAATGAAAAAGAAGTAAATTAAATTAAAATATAATTTAGATAATAAATATCTAAAAACACTGGGCACAAAAACAACCATTCAGCTTTTAACTCAATTAACTGAAAAGAAAAGATCTATAATAAATACAATAATAAATCTACTCTTTCATCGAAATGCTAAAAACAAAACTAAACAAACATATTAAATTACAAAAACAAACTACTTATAAATTGGAGTTGACTGTTGAAATTAAATTGTGAATAAGATTTACTCTTAGGAACTGTTGATGTAACCCTTAGAACCTTTATCTAATCAATAATGTGGAAGATAATATCGGTTTTATAGTCTAAAAAGTGTTTTATTCCGCTAATTTTGTCCGTTGTCTCAAGCAAGAAAAGCGCACTTTTCTCTTTAAGATAGAGAACCTGCACGAATGATATACAAAAAGTTATCCAAAACAAAAAAACAAAAACATTCTTGATCTGGCAACGCTTGGGTACCGTTGTGAATCATGTTTAAAAGGGTACCGTTGTGAATCATGTATGCCACTCAATTGAGGGTCACTTTAAATGCATGCTAAATATTGAATGTATTTTAAAAATGGACAAAAGTTAACAATTTTTTTAAGCTTTCCAAATTTCTATGCTATATCATCATGCACAGTTATATGATATTAATCTGTAAACAGTATGCACGCTATCTGGAGAATATGAATTAATTCTTTTTATTATTAATACAGTATCTATATTTTCATGAATAAATGGTAATACTATACATTATACATTATATTACATTATATATGTATTGGTAAATGAATTTATAACTTGACTAAAACTCTAATTGTTTTTCCTTTTTTCTTTGCAACCTGATGTCGTAGACTTTTGATATAATCTACTGCACTAGCAAACAAAAAGTCAAATATTTAAAAATATCAATTATGAATTTTACGAAAAGCGTAAATAATTTTCTGCAGTAAAAATAAAAATAATTATATTTTTTAATCAAAATTTCATTAACAGTAAGACCCATAATACAGTAGAATAGGAAGACGACTACTAGATTTTAGTACACTATACATGTCAACACATCAAGTGTGCAAGTGTTGTTAATCGCTTTATGCATAAATTTTCTCTCAGGGTCAAAATATTTCCAATCATGTAAAGTTTTCAAAATATTTTATTCTAATTATTTTGTCTCTTCTTCACTATGCCAAACTTTGACCCTAAAAGAAAATAATTTGCAAAAAACGAACCAAAAGCAAACCAAAAACTAACTGAAACAAATGCGTTAAAACGATTTTTTGCTTCCCATTTTTCAGTTTTTAGGATAAAAATATTTCAAAGTTTAATAAAGCAAAGTAACCAAATACAGTTTTGAAGTGTGGAAAGTTTTATTAAAAGTTATTAAAAACGAACCTTAACGATTAAGAAAATCATAAACAGACCAATTTCAAATAATAAGTTGATATTAAAGCAACCAGTTCATATATTTGAAGTACAACTATTTGCAGTACAGCCATTTGCATTACAGCCATTTGCAGTACAGCCATTTGCAGTACAGCCATTTGCAGTACAACCATTTGCAGTACAACCATTTGCAGTACAACCATTTGCAGTACAACCATTTGCAGTACAACCATTTGCAGTACAAACATTTAAAATACAACTTTAAATATATATTTTTTTATGGGTCACACTGTGCGAAATTCTAGAATTATTAAAACGGGGGATTGTTCTCCACTGAAAATGAAAAAATAACTCCTTTAAGGTAGGGCCGAACTGAGATCTTGAATCCATTATTTGATAGTTTAGGACCGAACTGAGATCTTGAATTAATTATTTGGTAGTTTAGGGCCGAACTGAGATCTTGAATGTAGTTTAGGGCCGAACTGAGATCTTGAATCCATTATTTGATAGTTTAGGGCCGAACTGAGATCTTGAATCCATTATTTGATAGTTTAGGGCCGAACTGAGATCTTGAATCCATTATTTGATAGTTTAGGACCGAACTGAGATCTTGAATCCATTATTTGGTAGTTAGAAATTAAAATTAAACCTTAATTAAATTAAACCTTTTACTAACGAAAAAATATATGAAACTCATCTTAACTCTTTTGACCATAATTAGTGCCGAAACATTTAAATAAAAAATAAAACAAGTAAGTAGGTAAAAGCAAAGTTAAAGTTGAAGATATTGTCTAGAAATATTAAGACAAATTGTTGGAATTTAACACTTTTCAATCCAAATAATGCCGATATCTTTCATATCATTGATCGATCAAGAATGTAATGCAAGGAAAGTTAATTGCCGTTGCGTATACTCTGCGTACATATTGAAACCAGTTCTCTTTGGGCGGAATTTGTAAACAAGAATAGATGCCTCATTGTTCTTTTAGTATCCGAGGAGCATTGAATTTTGATAATATTGATAATTCACATAATAGTTTCCTATGACCAGAATATTTCATTGATTATTTATGTGAAAGATGGATCCCATTTCAGGCTTCGACATCTGTCTTGTGTTTACATTACCGCCCAGTGACAGTACACTGCAGTACACTTCTAAATTAACTTTCTTTGCATTAAACCCTTGGATCAGATAAAGGGTTAAAGGGTACCGTTGTACGACAAATGAAGAGTCACTTAAAACTACAATGACTGTCCCATTAAGCATGTTTTTCCCACATTGTAAATTTTGAATAACATGTTTTTGAAGAAACCACTTATATATATTTTATATGATATAATTTAATATAAAAATGATAAAGACATGATTTAATATAATTTTCTTTATTAACTTAACAAAAAATATGTCATTACATTGCACATCTTACACATAGTAGAAATTGCTTAACTTATATATGTAATGTAACGGAGTTCAAAGTTCGTATTTTTAACAAAGAATGTCAGATCATGGTTGGAATCAATTATCTCTGTATATGGGAACTCTGTTAGGTGTTTACATAAACTAAAACTCCTTTTTTTAAAAATCACAAACGAATGTAACAGATTCTTTAAGAATTGATATTTGTGCTTTTATGAATAGTTAAAATGTATTTATATGTTTGTATTTTTGTGAACATCCTGTGAACACTGTGTATTTTTACGTGGGCTCAAGGTGAAGACTACGCCTTAAATCTAACATTGAAATCTGGAAAACATGATATCATCAGTTGTAACCAACCCTTGAGCAGCTCCGGAGTTCCAAACCAACTCTGTACCACCAAAAAAGGGGATTTTATTGATATTCTAAAATCAGAGTAGAATTATCATTTTCGGAACAAGTCCTGAACCAGAAAGTTCATCTACACCAGCGTTAAGCAGCTCCCACTTGTACCGACCAGTCAAGACTACCCAGTGTAAAGTTGACTCAGCATGTTTGTTTCGTGGATTGGGGATTTGTTTCCGAACCTATTTAAGGTTTTACTTTTTTGTCACCGGACTAACCAGAGTGAGCAGCACTCGGTTTCTTCTATTTGAAATCAAATAGAGTTTTGGTCTTTAATTCAATAATCATTTACATTAAGGATTTGTTTCTTTTATACTATTTCATTCAAAATGTATATGCCAACAAAAAAGTATAAAATAGAAAAGGCTAACAAATTATGTTTAATGGGTTAAATTGTGATAGAAAGTCACAGCTTTCTGGAATATTGACCGAACCGTTAAATCCACGTGGGCTGGTATAATAGAATTGCAGCCTTCTAGTATACTGTATTTATATATCTAGTTTATATTTGTAAAACATTAAGTTTATAATTTACACATTTTGTACTTACCAAATCAGTTAAATCTCAACCCTATATTGTACTCTTTTTTATATCCTTTTATCGTGTACAGAGCGTCCCATATCATATCTACAATCTTTAACGCCTCAATACGCACATAATACTCAAAAAATCTAGACCTGAAGAATAAATTATAATCTTGTGTAAATGAACATATCAACATGCAGAACACCATGGGGTTGCTTGATTTTTGCTCAAGAAAAGTAGGCTGGCAAGATCTATGTGGGTTTGGATCATGCAAATATTGAACCCATGTGGAATGCAATTTCGGGTTGAGACAATTCTTGACCGAGCGATGCGGCCAGGACCAGGTTAGAGGCCGAGCGATGCGGCTATGACAAGAGAGCGGCCTTTTTATAGTTTATGGTCGATTAGAGGGATATTCTATGCTGCATTTTTGATTGTGGGGGGGGGGGGATCTAGAAAGCAAGATCTATAGAAATACCTAAAAAATGTATTTGATTTAAATTAATTTTTATTAAGGTATTGGTTGTTGTTATTGTTCTGGTTTCTCTGCTACATATGATTACAAGAATGGTGGATAGAACTTACAATGTTGTGGAGTTCTGTAAGTATAAACCTCAAACCCTCAAGTCAGTCAGTCCTAGTGTGGGGTGTACATTTGTAGAATCTAATTTAAAACATTAAAAATGAAGAGAGGAGAATATTGAATTGCAATTTAAAACATTCTTAGAAAAAGATTAAAATCTTCAAAACTGTCTCATCCAATTTACGAGACTAGGTTTAATAATTATACTCTGTCTTAAATTATCTGTCTCTTTTTCACACAAACAAATCAAGTCAAATCTAATATTTATTACATGCAGATTAAATATATTTTAACAATATAATTATCACATCAAAACCTCATGAGGAGGGAAAAAGAACTAAATACAAAAAAAAGAAAATGAAAAAAAAGAAAATGAATAAAAAGAAAAGAAGGAAACGGAAAATGAAAGAAAGAACCCTAGGAGAGAAAATTGGCATAAAATCTAATTTTTGTTACTAATAATAATTGTAAAGGAATATTTTTTCTTCAAATTAAAAAGAAATAAAGTGCACTTTCTTAAATACATTATTTGGGAATTTTTATTTCTATCCTATCTTGTTAAATTATATGGTTTAAATATACATTTTTTTGTATTTTAAGGAGCTTATCCTTTTCCCTTCTTTTATTAGATTAATGATTCTAATGAATTCTAATGTACAGCAAAAAGTAACATTGAGACAAATTGAAATTATATAAAAATATGGCCAGGCGTAGGAGAAGCTTGCATGTAGTAAAAAGTGGGCAAACATGATATTCTGTGAAATTGCAGTACGTTGTACATTGCTAATGATTTAAATGTTGTAAACTTGTGTAATGAAAATATTCATTGATACTGCGTGTCAATGGAGTATTTAATAGGATTAGCTTGAATCATAATTAAATCACACTGTAAAATATGTAGATAGTTATACTGCGTGATGTATATTTTCTCTAATCATGTAATAGACGTAATACAATGGTATTAATCATGTGATATAGATAACATCCTAGGAATTGAATATTGCCAATTCCTGTTAACTTTGTAACATAAACCATTTAAATAAAATGAGTTGATTGAGACTCTGCTTTGTTTACAGCAACTCAAAGTAGTCTGTGTTCTCGTTGAAACATACCATTGTAGATCTTGCTAAATGTTTTGGAATTGATTTGAGCTAGTGTCTGATTGACATTGATAGCTTATGAGATTGTGCAATTTGGCATTGAATCGAATATAGCTTAAAAGATAGCTTGTGTCCTCGTTAAATTATACAAGTTGAGATACAGCTTGTGTTAGTTAGTCCTAAATTATTGGATGCTTGTGTCCCTGTTTGGCATTTACAGCTGGTCCTTGTTGAATATAGAGTCGAGCTTTAGTCCTATATTATTGGATGCTTGTGTTTGTGGGGCATTTAGAGCCGGTCCCGTTTGATTGTGTTAACTGACAGACCTGGGTCCTGGATAGATATGTCTCGAGTAGATTGTTCTGGAGTAGGTATTTGCTATATGCAGAAGAGTTTTTTTTCGAATTTTATTTTTGGGAAAAAATGAAGATTTTCGTGCTTGAGCTTTTCTTGATCTTTACATCCTTTACTTTCCCTTTACTAAAAATAAGTATTAGCTACATTTATCTACAGTTTTACTCTACATCTTATACCTCTAGCTTTTTTTGTTTTGATGCAAATAGCTTCTCAATAGGACTTAAGGGAAAGAAAATTTAGTTAAAAATCTAGTTTTTTAGTTTTTTATCATTAATTTTGATCTTTTTCGAGATTTTTGGGTCAACAAAAATTTTCGCCTGCATCTGGGATTTCTAACATTTGTGCCCCCCCCTTTCAAATTCCTATCTAAGGCCCTGTTTTCATCAATTTTCCTACAAACAGCTTATTGTCAGCTTATTGTTCAATCCTGTACGAGTGAACATGTAGATAAGAGAATAGGTAAAAAGTCTAAAAACTTGTCAATATACGAGTGGCAAGTTTTCCTTTACTTTTCTTCAATTAAAAACTAGACAGAAGGTGTGCGTCATAGATTAATTAAAATAACAGATAGGATACTAGATGTCGTCTTTTCAAGATTTGGATGAAACTTGTTTTCACAATAACCCTGAGGCAGAAGCCCAGAGGATTTTCGTGCAGTCGGCGAAAAATTAAAACAAGAGCTAGAAGATAATCCGTTGAACGATCTAGAAAACCCTTGAACAATGTAAAGAGAAGTAATTCCTCTTAAAGGCCAAACTTAAATGAGGAGCAGACAAATGTTGCAGGAATGTAGTTACTGTTCTTTCTTTTACTCAGTTGTTTAGAAAATGTTTTCAAAAATAGTTCAAATGCAGATTACAAAATCCATAGCGCCAGTTCTCAATTTAATATAAGAATTAAAACTACGGGAATTTTTACTTTTTTCTGTTTCCCTCTGTATTATCATTCAAAATTTAATTTTACAAAAACGTTAGTTAAAGTTTTTAAACTTTTGCTTATTACGTTTATCTGAAACTTCTATTGAAAATTAAATGTTTTTACAACGTATTATTTCGTGTATGCTTTTAATGAAATGTTACTTAAGCCGACTTTATCCCATACTTAAGAAATTAATTTTATGAAATTTATCCCATATTTAATGAAATTCGATCTTCAGTACTGCTTTTTTAATATTTATAATTTAATTTGTTACAGGGTGTCCAAATAAACATGGGATTGATTTCTGATATTTAATGTAGGACAAAGAAAGTAAAAAAACGAGGCATGTACGTCTGTCTACCTTTCTTGTAATTTAAAAATTGACAAAGATATTAGATATTAAGATAATTTTGATTTATTAAATAAATTGGAACTTGTATAAATTTCACAATATCTGTAGTTTTTAAGATACAAAAATGGTAGACCACATTTTAAAAATATCAAAACAGGCGCTTCGATATTAGATGTTTAAGCTGGAATTTTGCAATAATTGTGTTCATGAAAAAATGCCGCATGTAACGAAGACGATATAAAAGTCGTCACTGGATTCCAATCGTTTTCAGATTTGTTGCTTATTTGCTGAATTTGATCTATTTAAACCCCCTATTTTTATACAAAATTGTATATATATTAATTTTCGTATAAATTTGACACAGTTTTATATCAATTTCTCGAGATAGGAACATCAGATATAACTTTCATGGGTCGCGATCGAGATCTAAAGTGATTAGCTTTCAGCCTATACCCCCTTTCATTTTTCCTTTACAGTCCCTTTAAATCTGAATGATCAAATTTAAATGACTTATTTACGGTTTGGGTGGAATAATCCAACTACGTGAGTTAACGGGTTTTATAAAACTAGAAGTGATTAAAGCCAAATTTAATTCGGGAACAGTCTGTACCCCCTTCATTTTTACGGAAAACACTCCCGTTAATAACTCAATTGTCCATGTGTACTTTATGCCTTATAATTTGTATCCTCTATGATAAATAACTCTATTATCTATGTATAATGTGTATACTCTATGTTATAACTCTATTATCTATGTATAATGTGTATACTCGAATGTTATAACTCTATTATCTATGTATAATGTGTATACTCTATATTATAACTCTATTATCTATGTATTTAGTCGAAGATGGTGAAGAGGTGATGGCGTGTACAGTACAGTTCTCTGATTGGTTGAAATCCATCTCTCTGAATGCGTACTTTCTGACCTTCTACTGGTAAGCCCTAATCAAGAAATATAGTTCCTTGGCCCTAACCAAGGAAAATACATCATGGAGCCCGAAACTTAAGACTGTATCGTCATAAACCCAGTTTCGGAAAGTTGTTTTCAGGAATTGGGTCCTACAGTTTTGAAGATACCGATATTATTTCATTTGTTTTCTTTACATTGTATTTTTTATAAGTTAAAATCTACGCAAATGCATGAACCCCGAAAAAGAGTGTATGTCCGATCATAACCTATTAACCCCTTGACAGATTTGCCCTAAATTTTGATTGGGGAACTTGTGTAGAACCACGGGGAATGTTCTTACCTTGGTTTAAAAGTTCTAGCAGAAAATATAAAAGGTTGACATGTGTAGAGTTTCCCAAGCTATTTATTGCATAAAATGCTTATAATTCTGGTCCTCAGAAACATCTGGTTAAGTTTTTTAGATTTTTAAAACAGGGAACACTCCCTTTATGTTTTTATTTTTGTTTCCAGGTTTCGTGTTATCTTTGTCCAACTGGTTCCCTGTGTTGCTTTGGTCATTCTCAACACATTGCTCTTCTCCGCAATGAAAAGGTTAAAAAACTTTTCGCCAACATTTATATTTTATTCGCAATTTCGAACAACCGAAACATTTAAAAATCACAAAATGTATTTGCGATCTTGAACATAAAACAAAAATTCTGTTCGAGATTTTGAACATAAAACACAAATTCTGTTCGAGATTTTAACATAAAACACAAATTATGTTAGAGACTTTGAACATAAAACACAAATTCTGTTCGAGATTTAAACATAAAACACAAATTCTGTTTGCGATTTTAAACATAAAACGCAAATTCTGTTCAAGATTTTGAACATAAAACGCAAATTCTGTTCGAGATTTCGAACAAAATGTTTATAATCTTGAAATACTTTTGGGATATTTTCTATCGGTGTAAATTGGGTCGGAAAAATTGAGAAATTTTTTTTTATAGTAATTGCCTTGTTTTGACCCTGAAATTAAATGCAAAAAAAGAACCAAAAAAAAACGTGATAAAACAATCGTTTTTGGTTCGTTGTTCCTTCTTTTCAGGATAGAGATTTCCTTAATTTTGAAGTGTGGGAAGTTTTTTATTTAAAAAACGAGAAAAATTTTTTTAACAAAAATCAGTCTTGAAAAAAACAAACCAGTTACTGCAGGCCCAGTCAAGTTTAAACTTTAAACACGTATCGTATGAATATATGGATATACGGATACATTGAAATAATCCATTAAAGAAGAAAATATGAAAGTTATGCAAATTTTTGACCTAGTTTCTCGCTTGTTTGAAACAAAAGAGAAGTTTGCACAGATTAATTGATATTAATCATGTTTTTTATAGCCTAAATATTACCATTACGTAAAAGCCCTTAGACAAACGAAGCTTTACGAAATTAAATTTTTGCGAGTACAAACAGTGCAGTTGATACTGATTTTTGTTATTCCTTTAAACTTTTACTGCTGGGCTCAAGTTAGTGAACGCTGAGTTATTCAGATCAGAAGTTTATAAACTTTGTTTAAGCATATCTAACCAACCTTAAAACAAGCATTTCGAATTCAGGTCACTCTAGTCTCATTTCAGTCCCTCTGTTCGCCCCAGGGAGATAAAACTGACGCGGTTCGCCCTATCATATGACTATACATGCTTTGCAGACTGGTACTTCATTTGAATAAGAAATATTTGTCTGATGTACATTTACTGCGTATACAATAACCTTTTCTGAATATTTCATATACAAAAGGAGTACACGTCTGCAAAGCATGTATAATCATATGGTAGGTCGAACCGCGTCAGTTATATCTCTCTTCTATTCCTTACTCCCTGGTTCGCCCTAATTAAAAATGATATAAAAGAAAAGCATAGTGTGCCCAATTATAATCTTGTAAACTTATCAACATATAGGATAATGTTACTCTATTAATGTTCTACAAGTAAGAAATGCAAAGATATATATATATTTTCTAAAAAAAGTATCAATATTCAATTTGTTAATAATTACGGTTTACGGAGTTAGCCTTTTAGCTACAGTGTTAGGCGATGTTATCAATACTATGAAGACGACTTTCGATCTCAATTTTAATTTATATATCAAATTGATAAACAGCGGATACACATATACATAGAAGTCCAGACAAGCTGTCAATAAAAAAAGATTCTCATTGATTACTTCTAAACTTGTAATTAAAAAAAGCTTGTTAACAATCAAAACTCAAATAAAAAGTCGTCTTCGTTTTATTGATATAATCGCCTAACACTGTATATCATTTTGCTAACTATTCTATAATTGTGAACACAATTTCTAATTGTGTTTAATTTTTTCAAGATTCTGAAACCAATAAGAATACATCAACCTTTTAAAAGAAAATTATCATTTACTGTTATACTCATATGGTAGCGCAAGTCAGATGAGAGGGTGCACATTTTTATAAGCACTATTCAGAGTAGATCTTTAGTCATGATATACCCTCTTAGCTCTAAATTAAGAAGGTCTGAGGTACTCTGCAAGCACTGGTAAAATATGCCACTTTCATCTGTTTGATCCTTTTATGAGTGGGTATATTTCTAAACAGTGAATTCTAGTTTTTGATTGGTGTATCTTCTTTAGTCAGTCCAAAAGATAAAGTTTCATGTGCCATAGGACTATTACTATTCATGATTCTACCAGAGCTACAAGCCTGAGCACCCATGCAAAACTCAGCATAGTAATATTGCGATGTAGGGATGAGAGCTATACACAATTTTATCTTTTTCATCATTCCTAAATGGCAATTTAGCATCACTTCCATGACTGAACTAGTGTCAGAGAATATTTGAAATGCCGTCCTATGAAGACCATACTGTGAAGGAATGACTTTTTATACTTAACCAAGACCAAACTATTGATATCAATCATGAGAAGTCAGGATATGTAAATGGTCTAGTTAATACCATAAAGAGGAAGGAATACAATTTAATTTAGCATTTACGCAGGAAGTTTTGGAATTAACATTTCAATTTTAGCCAAAATATGAGCATCCATTACTCCCCAGCCCAATTTAGCTGATATTCATTTAGACCGTGTAGCCATGTGGCACAAATTGAGGCATTGTAATTTACGTCGTATTTTGTTCATTTAGTAATTATGCTAATCCTATTTTGCGATAAACCCATTCCATGTATTAGAAGTAATATATGTTCTCGTTGAAACAAACGAGTGGAGATAGTTTCTTGAGTGATGGTATTGATCTATTTTATTGCTAGTGTCTGTATTGGCATCAATAGCTAACGAGGTCTCGTCCTGTATAGTGGCGTTGATTATAGTTACTGTGTTGATCATTTCCTGGTTGAGAAACTGATCAATTGATTGTCAGTGTCTGTATCGACATCGATAGCTAACGAAATCATGCCCTGTGAAGTGGCGTTGATTAATCACGGGATTGTAGCCATGTGGATCATGTCCTGGTTGAGACATTGATCAATTGATTCCTAGTGTCTGTATTAACATCGATAGCTAACAAGATCACGCCCTGTGTAGTGCCGTTGATTAGTCACGGGATTGTATCCCTGTGAATCAGTCCTGTCTGAGTTTTAAAAATTGCAATTTCAATGCCCTACATTTATCATTTAAAAACGTAATAACTGCCGGAAGACTCAAATGCTGTGGCATGGAAGACCGTGCGGTTTTTGCTCATGGCTGACGAAAGACAAAAAAGATAATTTGTGACATGGAAGGGGAAAATGTTATGGCTTAGGGCCGCCTGCCTTTGGGGCTCCCATATGACGTATCTGACTGCGTATATATATCAGATAAACGTGATAGATATAGCCGCCAAACTAGGGGCTCCCAAAGTATATCATTGGGATAAACCTTGTTCATATGTTCGTTGAACGACACTGACTACGTAAGAAATGCCTTATCTAACTTTATATACAGGGTGTCCCACGAAACATGACAGTATGCAGGACGACTTGAATGTCGTCTTGATTTTTGATATAATTTGCTGCGTTTATTTGTCAACCTAATTTTAGAAGTAAATTTCTAGAGATAATAATCACAAAATTTCCCTTGTCCTGCCATTTCCAAAATGTGGTCTGCCTTTTTTGTGCTTTAAATATTGCCCGAGATATGAAGAATTTCTTTCAGATTTCGACAATTTTGCTTTTATTTAACAAAATTGAAATCTGAACCAAACTCTTTATATCTCAGGTAATATTGAAAGCACAAAAAACGCAGACCACTTTTTGGAAATGCCAGGGCTAGGAGAATTATGTGATAATTGTTTCAAGAATCATACATGTTAAAGTAGATAGAAGACTAAATGTCACAAATAAATTCAAATACCAAAGACGACTTTCAAGTCGTCTTCCTATTGTCATGTTTCGTGGGACACCCTGTATTAGATAAGAATCTGATACGAGACATCTAGCGGCCAAACAATCGTCTTCAAAAATACGTCAATTATACAACTGTTCTCTGCATGTCTTCAAGTTTTATGATATTTTATGATAATTTTAGAGCTGAAAGACGACGACAAAAACTGATGGCCGGGAAAATTCGGGCAGCAGCCAAGGCTGCAAAATCAAATAGGTTTGTAAGTTTAGTTTTGAATGTGTTTTAAAGCCAAAGAACGATATGTCCATCTATATATTTAGCACTGCATCGAATGGTACAGCTAACAAGCGGCAACGTGATGCTAACAGTACAACCCTCATGCTCATCGTCGTCATAGCGATCTTCCTGACAGTAGAAATCCCGCTCATGGTCATCACAGCACTTCATACAATATCGTCCAGGTATATATTACGATCATTTTTCTTCCAAATTATAAATAGAATTCTCACAATTTTTATATTTCTACCATTCTGTCCGCAATTTCTAAACAAAATGTTCGTAATTTTGATTTTTGATAGATTGAGAAAAACTTCTAACACTTATTTTGATTATCTGGTACAGTTGTCGGCGTTTATATCAATACAATGAATTCAAATTTTGTATCATTGTTTTGATTTCTAAAAAGTTTTCTTCAAATTACACGTTTACAAGTAATCAGGGTCATTGTGTACAGTGGCTGTACAACAAGAAGTCTAAAATTCCAGATGCCCCCTCTATTACTAATATCTCGATGAGACACTAACCAATATTTTCTATTTAGTTTGTATGAATTCCTCAATTATGAGCTTGTAAAGAAAATAATAGTTTTGATGAATGTTGGCTTATGTCTCTCCTACCCTCTTAACTTCGGAATATACTGCGGAATGTCCAGGTAAACCACTGTGCACAAAAATATGTCCAGGTAACCCACTGTGCACTAAATATGTTCAGATATACCATTATACACTTGAATAAGTCCATGTATACCACTGTGCACGGAAAGTTCAAGTAATAATTCATTCACACAAAATTATCTTTTCAACTTTTAACTTTTATCAGATGAAATATGCAAGAAGCACTAAAGATTTATGGCCGGTCGGAATTGAAAAAATGTTTCTCTTAAAAATTTAATTTTCTAAAAATACACTATAATAAAACGAAAAATTCGCAACATTTTCTATCTTGTTTTATTTTAAAAACTTATAAGATCACGAAACTTGTTTCAAATACTGAGTACAACGTTTTTATAAACCATTTACAAAGAAATCTAATTACAAGTTTCCCAATTTTAAATATTTGAATTTTTGATTATTTAAATATCAGAATATTTGCTTTTTTAACTATTTAAATATTTGAATTTTCTAATTTGATATGCTAAGGGTAGCTGATTTATTTTAAAGTTATGATGTTTAGACATTTACTGATGATTTTTTCTCAATTCAATTATGAACATTCTTTCTTTGTATACATTCTAAAACTAAAACAAACAAAAAAGTTCGCGGATTTTATAAAGAAAAATTTCGTGGATTTTTAAAATGAGGTCACACAAAAAAATTGGACCTGATCGGTTCAGCCGTTTAACGTATATTGATACAAACAGACAGACAAGAAAAGTATAAATATATATATATTGATGTCCTTTGAATTTAAAATTTTAAAGTTAAGACGCTTAAACACCGACAGATGAGGTTTTTAAAATCATGTTCTTTGGATTCAACATTTTAAATCTATGACGTAAAAGTTTTCAACATTTAAAGTTAAAGATGTTCAGACAATAAATGGTGAGTTTTTAGATAATGTTAATTTTATTCTAAATTCTAAAGTTACAAGATTTAGAGAAACGTCTAGAAAAGAAGGAAAAAATTGCGATCTATTTTAAACGACTGTGTCTGTAATTTTGTGTAGCCCCAAACACACTGATCCAAAAGTTGCAATGAGAATTTTGCCAATTTCTTTTAAAAATACAAAAACAATAATTTCTGTCTTGGCAATAAGAATTTAACTCTTTACATTTACAGACCTCAAATTTTAGATAGAAAAACAAGGATAAATCCATCATGATCTAAATAAATGGAGGTTCACTCAATTGTCTCACAGTTAAGAAAAAAGTTTATTTTCAGACAATTTCGTGAAACCTTCAAGAATTTGTTCGTGAGTCCGATTCTCAACTTAATCCGACCAGCTGGGAGCAATCAATCAATCATGATGAATAGGTGAGTTCACTATACTTGATTACACCTGCTGGGAGCAATCAATCAATCATGATGAATAGGTGAGTTCACTATACTTGATTACACCAGCTGGGAGCAATCAATCAATCATGATGAATAGGTTAGTTCACTATACTTGATTACACCTGCTGGGAGCAATCAATCAATTATGATGAATAGGTGAGTTCACTATACTTGATCAGACCAGCGGGGAGCAATCAATCAATCATGATAAATATGTGAGTTCACTATACATTTCCACTGGACCTTCTTGTTTAATTTCATGTTTAGAAAGTTTCTTTTCTAGTTCCTGCATTTTGCCCCCCCCCCCAAAAAAAAATTAAAAAGTACACCAAAAAAATATTTCACTAGTCAGTCATAGGCAGCAGTGCTGCCCTGATGGGCCCCCTGCCCTGTCCTCGCCGCTACAAAAATGTACTATTCTAAGAACCAATGCTGCAACAGAATGTCCCAAAAATATGAAGAAAATCATGAGAAACTTTAAAGTTTTCAATAATTATTTTTAAATAACTGCCAAGAAAAAAATATATAATAATGAGAAGAATCATATGACACTATTAATATCTATAAAATAAAGCTCTTATAGCTTATAAATATAAGATATTTGTTTATTATGGCTGGCCAATCCGCTGAACCAAATTAGCTAGCTTTTTTGGATAAATATATTATGATAAAGTTTATTTTTATAGTAATTAATCATAGAGTAATAAAACGAAGAGGTGAAGCTTAGCTTAGATGTACAGAATCGACCTCCATATTAATTAAATAATAGACAGGTCGGTTGTGTACATCACAATATGTTTACGTATCTAAGGCTGTACGCTTGTATATAGAGTGATCGTATTTCTAAGGGGTGGTTTTTTTTCTAGATATTTGAATATTAGTATTGATAATTAGATAGACACTTAATATGGATTGTAAACACAGGATTGTATACTGCAGTACTTTCAAGTTCAGTTGTTTGTTTATTTTAATAAAAGTATGACTTAATATTGCATCATAAAAAGTGCACAAACAATCTTCTTGTAAAAATGTGAGTTTTTTCAAAATACCAAAACATTGTGCATGGCGAGACCTTTTAATGCTGGGAGACTCCACCACTTATCCCTCAAGTTGTAATTGAAAACCTACAAATTTGATAATTGTCAAATGTTTGCAGTCAACCTCCTCGAATTCTCTTTGAATTAAGAAAGAAAATCTAAAAATTTGTCAATTTCATATCCCCCCACCCCCAAGAAATACGATTGCTCTATATACAAGTGTACAGTGTTAGATACGTAAACATATCGTGATGTACACAACCGACCACTCTATTTATTAATCAATATGGAGGTCGATTCTGTACATCTGAGCTAAGCTTCACCTCTTCGTTTTATTACTCTATGAAATTAATGTTTAAAAGAAATAACTATTGCTGCTGCGCAGTAACTGAGTATTGTTTGAGAACTAGTTTACCGATCATAATTATCCAATGTAAACAAACATGTCGGGATGTGTAAAATGTTTTATTTGCTGAATTTGGGATAACTATTAATAATTAAATAATTTTATGAGAAAATAAATCAATTTCGAGAAAAAAGAATGAAAAAATAGCCTCATATCATATCATAATTTTTAAAAATATTCACCACTGTGTTTAGAACCCCCCGGGGTATCCATGGGTTACCTCGACAAATTTGTGCCGATTTAGTTCAGCCTAAACTCATAATTACTCTATGTTTCTTAATATACCTCTATAAGTCACTAGAAAATGAAAAAGGAAGAAGTTGGAAGGGTTGAGGAAGGGGGGGGGGATGAAAATATGTATTCATCGATACATAATAACCTCCATCAAGATATTTAGGAAAGACTTTGATTTAGACAAAAAGTATCTTGGCATTTTAATGAATGACAACATCATTAAATCCATCAAAATATAAATCTTATATATAAAGTAGTATTCTCTACTTGACTCTCTATTTGGATGTCCGATCATTGCTCATGAGCCACTCAAATTTGCCTAAAATTTGACTAAAATTTGCCTAAAATTTGCCTAAAATTTGCCTCATATTTGCCTCAAATTTGATAAAATGATAAAAAAATTGGAAAACAATTTGAAATAACTTGTTAGCATTTTTTTTACATCAAATTTCAAAAATGCGTCAACTTATAAATCTCGCCAGAAAAGTTGTTAACTAAGAAATAATTTATTCACTAAATGTAATGTATTACTTCCTACACCATAAATTCTTAATGAAGGAAGACAACAAAAGAGTTTTTAAAATATCACCATGAAAAACATTCAGTGGTCATCGCCGCTATATATGTATTTGTTTTCCATCCTGTCAAAGGTTTCTGATTGCAGCTTCAAATATGTGAAATTAACTGAGGCAAAATAAAATATTTGTGTTAAAAGTTATTTTTAGGAATAGAAGTTATATTTATACAGAATACAGAATGCTCACGGTATTTGATCATGAATCAGATCATTATACAAATTCTTTATTTGTCTGTAAAATATTGTTAAAAACATTGAAAAAAATTCCAAAAATAAAATTTTGTGAGAAAGACTCGTGAAAGTTATGAGACAAGAAAACATTTTCAAGAAATATTTATCAAACTTTTGTAAAATACACATTTTATTTTTCATCTTAGACACAAAGGTTAGTCTTAGAAATTCCTGTGAAACTGAAAATTGAATAAAAATGTTTGCTTATAAAGTACATCCAATATTTATGAATACAACGAAATAACTTTTTGTCTCGTTGTCAATGAATTTGGAAATCTTTACTGATACGACTTTGTGACCGCGTAACTTCTCTAGTTTTTAGTTTACGCACACAACGAGAGAAACGAATTTATTTGTTTACATAATAAAAATTCAAAACATTTTTGGTGCTTCTCATAAGTTGCAATGTATAGAGAAGTTTATGATTATGATTTCAATCTAAAATGAAATTAAGTTTGATTTGACGTTGCTGAGTCAAGTAATTAATTTCTTTCCAAGTAAGGGTGAAACCGTTTCAATGAAAATGTGGAACCTTGCACCAGAAAAAAAAATTTAAAAAAAGGAAATTAGAAACAATATTTTTAAAAGAAAAATTTGAGAGAAATCAGAACTAATTCAGTAATTATAATTTAAAAAATTAAGATCCTAAAAGAGAAGGTCGAATTTCGATTAAGGTTAAAAACTAGCTTTCAGTATAATCTGACAAATATATTTTTCCAAAAAACCGGGGTTTTTTATTCATAATCAACTCAATTTATCAGGGATTATCTGGAACTACTAAAGTGTTATTCTAAACTCAGTGTTTCAAGACGGATATGTTGATACCCATGCTTGATTTATTCGTAATACTTAATTTATTCTGGCTTTGTATAAGTGATTTGATGTATACACAAAAAAATAAAAATACGAGTTTTAAAACTATGAAAAAAAAATTCTCAAATCAAAGAAAAATTTAGAACTGGTGCTGCAAGATGAATGAATCAAAAAAGTGCCACATAGTTTCATTCTTATTCTAGCTGTAAGTGTGATGAAAAAATTTAAAAAGCTCAATTCATTCTAAAAGCTAGTATCCGGACTTGGAAAAATTCAGTCTAGGGTAGGGTTTCCAATCGGAATTCCGTTGCTAGCAATTGCGCGGAATTGCGCGCAATGGTTGCTTCCGCTTGCGCCATTTCATAGCGCGCAATTGCGCTATAATTGCGAAAAAAGGAAGCAATTAAATATTCGCGGAATTGCGTTGAATTGCGCGGAATTTGCTTGGAATTGCGCGGAATTGCGTGCATCGGAATTGGTTTTATACCTAAAAATCAATAATTTTAAATGTTATACTTACAAATTTATGCAACAGATACAAGAATGGAATTAAATATCTCTGTTGATTTTAAAATAATCGAGGCCATGGAGTGTCACTTGTTTCAAAAGTTTACAAATTTTAAAGTTTCTTGTGGTTGGATAAACATTAAAATGGAAACTTTTTTTGGTTGAAATTATAAGGTTCGTTTAATCAAAAATAGATATTTTGCTACAGTGAGAACCAGAAAACTATGATACAGAAAGACAACATCACAGTGTATTTGATGTTATAGTTACAAATCGAACAAAATTACTTAGTAACTTATTAAATCACTTATCCAGTTACATGGGTCTGCTTAAGTCTAAACTCGTCTTCATATGCCAGAGTTTTCTGGTTATCATGCTGCAAATGAATATTATAAGACAAAAGATTAAGTTTAAATTCAATTTTCTTAGCATTTGAGATTACAATATTTGTGAAGTTCAGTTTATTCCAAGCTTTAAATTGAATATTTTGTTGTTGAAAGGAATTGCGCAATAATTAATTGCATTTATTGCCTGCCATAAGGTTTAAATTGAATTTTATCAAAAAATTGAAACACAACGCAAGAAAGATGGACGGAATTGCGCGCTATAGCGCACAATTCCGTTGCGTTTATTTGCGCGCAATTATTACGGAATTGCGCGCAATTAAATACACTTGCGTTGGAAACCCTAGTCTAGGGGAAAAGAGTATACTTTGATTATTTTTTTTTTCTTAGTAAATCAGACATATCAAGAATTCATGATAAAATTATGAATAATGATTTACGATGCAAAACGAACCCTCTTTAAAAAAAAAGAATAATAATTTTGAGGAAAAGTGCAAAAGAAGTAAAGGAATTAAGTCTTTGCCACAAACTCTGATTTTTTAATCCCAATATCTTTGGAACCAAATGTTACAGACCTTAGATATTTTAAACTATGAATTCTGTTAAATCAAATAATCTGAGTTTGAAATATCAAAGGTTTACAACATTAGGTTCTAAAGATATTGAGGTTTAAATATTTGATTTTGTTCCAAAGACTCAATTCCTTTCGTGATTTTTCTTGGCATTGTATAATATTCAATTATCTGTTATAAAGAATATGTGTCTAGGTTTATGTTACTTATCACACTTTGGAAATACATTTTGTATTATTCTTTAGAATATTGATAAAATGACAGGAATAGTAGATTATTTCAAAAATCATACTTGTTGAAGTAGATTGAAGACTGGATGTCACAAATAGATTCAAACATCAAAGACGACGTTCATATCGTCTTGCTAATGCCATGTTTCGTGGGACACTCTGTAATGTTTCTTAGAAATAAAGATTTAGAAAAGTAAACTTACCTAATACTTATGTACATTTTATTTTTAATAGCTGAATATAGTATCGAAAACTTCATTAAAACTAGGGTTTCAATAAAATTTTTGTTGAATGAAATTCAAATGGACGATAGAAATACGTTCAGTTTCGTTCAACTTTCGACCTCATTTTTGCGAAAATTTTGTCTATTTTCGTTCAAAGCTTTTCAATTTCGCATAAAGAAGTTTTTCAGATTTCTGACGAAGTGTCTGGTGAGGCCCCCCAAGAGTAAATGTGTCGCACATTTTCATGTTATTTAATAGATAATGTAAACTAGCAAATAATCTCAGGAAAATAATATTTAGTTTAAAAATCGTATTTATGAAAATTGATAAAATAAATTATTTATCCCGTGATTTTCTACATTTCTATTTCACATCTAGTAATATGTTTATAATATGAATTCGTCGAAAAATAATCGATAACTATAGGTTTTAATTTCCGAACCAAGTGCCCAGGAAAATCGTTCAAACTTATCTAATTTTTTTTTCAGTTTTCAGCTCGGCCTCCTAGCCTGTCCTAGCCGCAGCGCTCTGCCCAGAAAGTGTCTTAACCTAACCTAACCCTAAATAAATACTAACTTAATTATTTTTCTGGATCTACAAAATTCAATCCCCCTTTCTCTGTTTTGGAATTTTACGGGGCATTTGCGCACAACAGAAAATGGCAAATTCCCGTTTTAAGTGGATTGTATATAAAACAAATACAAAATATTATGAGATATGTAAGAATGCGTCGAAAAATAATCGATAATTTTAATATCTGTACGAAGTGCCCAGGAAGCCTGATCATTTAAACTTAACTAATGTTTTCAGTTTGGGAGTAAACGAGACAAAAAGAGTTGGAGCATCAAATGTTACAAGATTTCATGAAAATCCGAATCAAGCAGAAACTTATCTGTAAACATAATGGTTTTTAATTGTTTTTTTAAACACACCTGGGACCAGATTTACGTAGTTAAACTACATAGATGTAGTTTAACCACTTTTTTGTACGCTGGTTTAAGATGAAGAACATAGTTCAGCTATTTCTCGATATTCATTAAATGTACTCCTTGTATGTTTAAACTTGTCTATGATGTAAAAGAATACATTTCCAGATATATACATTTCAACTTATAATGAGTTGGTTGAGCTATCTGGTCCCATATTTCATTACCCAATCATCTGGGTTTGATGAAGTAATGGTTAGCGTGTTTGATCCATAATTTGAGAATTCAAGGTTCAAGCCACGTCAACTGCAAAAATGAAAAAACTGATGAAGATTCAGCCATACTAATGATTCCTTATATGACGAAACACTGTGTCTATGTATGTAAATATTACAACTGTTGTCTATATATATTCTTAATCACGATAAAAAAAGTATTTTTCTATACAGACAAAACAACATTGAAAGTTTTCACTATGGATAATGTTTTCACTGTGAATAATGTTTTCACTGTATATAATGTTTTCACTGTGGATAATGTTTTCACTGTGGATAATGTTTTCACTGTGGAATTTAGTATAATTAGCTTTTTAACTAGAAATATTAGTATATTTCATTAAACAATGGACCATGATCAGACAAAAGGTCTAATCGGACCTGCCGATCTAAGGGTCATTTAAAATTACGGCTTCAGTCTGTTAAATAATCTGACAATTAAATGTCAGTCTTATATTTGTATTAGTTTGTCATGGATCGTTGTACATTTCCTTTAAGATAACTAACTATTAAAGTGCCAAAACTTATAAAAGTGAAGAGAGTTGAATTAGTTTTAAGTCTCAAAATTGGACTGGTGTCTTTTCTGTATAATCTGAGCTCAGAACTTTGGTATGAAGTATTTTTAATCTCGATATTCAATGTGAGCACTTTTAAATTTGAAGATAAATGCTTGATCCATCTAATAATTAAAGTTATCCCAGCAGGGTATACCCACCACGGGATATGGAATTAAATTAATTCATAGATCTGTATATAGATGAACATCAATACTTGATCCATCCTTTAATTAAAGTTATCCCAGCAGGGTATACCCACCACGGGATATGGAATTAAATTAATCCGTAGATCTGTATATAGATGAACATCAATACTTGATCCATCCTTTAATTAAAGTTATCCCAGCAGGGTATACCCACCACGGGATATGGAATAAAATTAATCCGTAGATATGTATGTAGATGAACATCAATACTTAATCTCGAGATTTACAACATGAAAGTTCTGACTCCTACTATTGCATTGTATAAAGATGTTCTCTATGTAATTGTATAACCTGTAATTTACGAAAATATGAAATATTTTGTTAAATGTTATAATTGCTGTTTAAAACATTAAATAAAGATATAATAACACTAATAATCTTGATAGTAATAATAATAATAATAATAATAATANTTGTATTATACCTATAAATATTCTCAAATATTTTTGTGCGGGTACTTGATTTGACCTTTAGACCTTTCCATCATCATATCCTAAAAGTTTGTTAAACCTCTTTGTTTACTATTAGCAACCCCTCCCCAAGCATTTAACACACTATAGTACTGCTAATGGTGAGAAAACACGCAATTATAAAGCAAATCAAGAGAAAATTCTCAGTAAAAGAAATAAGATGATAAGCTGGCATTTAGTTCAGATTTATTTGGGATAATATAAAATTATACAGGTTTTCAACAAAATTAAATATTTTTTCTTTTTAATTTACATATCTTAATAAAACATGTATAAAATTTTACGTTCTATATGATGCAAACATATATATATATTTGCAATATATATAGTGATAGGGTGTCGTTATTTTACGTTGTTTACATGTAGTTGCTAATCAAGCGCATATTTTAAGATTTTTTAAAAGTTTGTTACTATTTAACTGTTTATTTCGAAAAAGAAGTATACAGAAAAATGGCACTAATCAACAATTACAGTTGCAGTTTATGTTCAGCTGTTTATTTTAACCATTGACAGATTTCGCATGAGAAACCCAAGAACCATTTAAATGGTAGGACAGTCTTGAGTAAGCAAGTTTTAGTTCAGATTTGTTACGTTTGTACCGTAATACTTTAAGTGTAGGGCTACTATAATAGCTTTAAGATATCTTCTTCACATTTGTAGGGTGAAGATGTGAAATAGGATAGAAAATTAGTCGATGTGGTGAACTGATTTATAATCCCTATATCTCTGCAACCCGGTGTCGTAGACCTCTGATTTGTCAAACTATGAGTTCAAGTAATCTAACTTTAACATTTTAAAGGTTTACACCATCAGGTTGCAATGATATTGTAATTAAAAAATTTGAGTTTGTCGCAAGAAATCAGAACCTTTAAATGATTAATTGTTTCTAATGTTCACCCTCTTATTTTCACCCTAGCTTCAGAAATTCTGCTAGGTTGATGTAAGATTTTCACCCTAGCTTCAGAAATTCTGCTAGGTTGATGTCAGATTTTCACCCTAGCTTCAGAAATTCTGCTAGGTTGATGTCAGATTTTACTATCTACAAATAAAATGGAACAAAAAGGAATCCAATCTTTGCCACAATCTCTGATTTTTTAATCCCTATATCTTTGCAACCCAATGTCGTATTTTTAAATTATAAGTTTTGTTAGATCAAATATTCTAAGGTTTACATCATCAGGTTGCAAAGATATGAGTTGAGCAAAGTCTGGAAGGCCATTTATAGGAATACTAGGCGTCCAGTGCACTTCGCGCCCATCTTCGATTCTAACTTTTAATTATTTTGTTGATTTTTAAAGAAAATTTGTTACATTCTGACCATCCTTAAACCTTTTTGGGTCGACCGGTTCAGCCGTTTGGACGTTTATTGGAAGTAATTAATTATAAAAAGTACAAAACTAACTTTCAGAAAATATCCTTTTTTTCACTAACTCACTTTTGCTTATTTGTAGCCCTTGAGCTTCAGTACTGTAGCGTTTTCAGTACGTTTTCAGTACGTTATAAAATTGCTGTATGTCTGCATGATTCGCATGATATCTGATATTCTAATATCATCAATATACATATAAAGTAGTAATCCCTGTTTGTTTGTTTGTATGTCCGATCATAACTCATAAACCCTTTGACCTATTTGCCTCAGATTTAGATTGGGGAACTCAAAAGAACCAAGGGAATGTTTTTAGTTTGGTTTAAAAACTAAAGTTTAGTTTAGTAGATCAACTTTTAATAGGCAAAATAAGTTTCCGACCAAAGCTGGGTTCCCAAGTTAGTATTTAATAAATCATAAAGTTGAAGTTTAAAATATGATTAATAAAATGGATTCTTTAAAGATAAATTCAAATTTTCCTTCAATTAGTTTTATTTCTAAATCAATATTTGATAGCATATCATCTCGTTTTCTGCCTTGTTGAAACAGAGCATTAGGGGGTTTTGGGCGGTTTCTGCTTTAAAGAAAGCGAGCATTATGGGGTAATGCTCGGTTTGAACAGTGTGTATTGTTTAATTCTTTTACACATTGGTTCTGAAGCAAGAATGCGCAAGTCACTTTTGCAGAGAAATCATTTTATGGAAATAAACATTTTTCAAAAACAAAAACATTCTTTCTTCATCAGACAAAGCTTTAAAGGGTATCGTTGTGAATCTATAAATTGAGGATCAATCAAAATTATGTTAACAGTCCCTTTAACAATATCTTTCAGGAAGATGTATTCCGACATAAATGGGAAAGTACACAAATACGGGCGGAACAAGGGTTGTAAGAGTTCAGAAACTGGGAGAATGTACCTTGAAACAAAGAGTTCATAGAGTTTCAGACTGTTTGGGATAATATCATGATTTTCAGGTTTAGGGAGCTTGCTAACCTTCCAGTTGTTAAAAGTTTTGAATCATTGACTATTTTTGCTCAACCATGAGCAGATTAAATAAACATATAAACATGTAACCATATGTATATAAGCGTAATGTCATTCTTTTTACCATTTTTTAAATATGTATCCAAAATGTTTTTTGCATTTAAATATAATTTTTAAGGGATCAGAGCAGAAAACTTTAGAATGGAAGAGTTATCATGGGATTAATATCCCATGATAGGTTAATAATTCTGGAGATTAATAACAAGAGGAAAACAAGCCTTATTTAATCTCGAGATCAAGAAAAAGAGTGGATCAAGCATTAATCCCGATATCCACCATTCAAAAGTTCCCAGCTCTGAGCACAATTGTTAAAATCATTTGTTTATTTTAAATAATTTATCTAAATATTTTCGTTTAGCACGCACTTTTACTCGAACCTTTTCAAAACCGAGAATTGCACACATTTCAGTTTGTACATTTTATTCTTTAAGACAGATGCAGGGTTCTCTTTTATTCTTTTATAGATATATAGGGTTCCCTGCATTCTTTTAGACAAATACAGGGTTCTTTTTTATTCTTTGAGAAATATTCAGGGTTCCCTTTATTCTTTTAGAAATAAAAATGAACGAAAAAAAGAAAAAAAACTATTACTTTTTTACATTTTACGTTTGCACAAAAGGTGTACATTGAACAATGAAGTAAAGACACAACTTAATTATAGGAACTGTTAAGGTAAAAGTAAAAGGGGTATATTCTAAAGCATAGAAATTATAGGCATCGATCGCTACCGGACCATCAAAGAAATATTCTGATATTTCAATTGATAGTTTTCCTATTATTTTCTATTTTTTTATGATCCGAGAGTTACTCTTGAAAACATGCATACATGTAGGGTTGTTAATCGTTTTAAAAAAATATTAAAAAATCGGACTTGCAGGGTCATTTGAAATTAATTCTACAGTCCCTTAAAAATTTCCTCAAAATGTCAAGATTACAAAACTTTCTTATTTTCCTTTTCAGAGTGAAAAAGTAATTATTTTTTTCTAAATACTTCTATTCCCGGTGAGTGAACTACATTTTCAAACTAACTTTTTTATCAGCGGGGGGGGGACTCTATGAAGAATATTTACTGTAATTTACTTATTTCTTTGCTGTACAGTATACTTATGAATAATGAATCATCTTCTTCTAGTTGCAACAATCCCTAACTCCAATAGTTCTTTACGCTTGTATCAATCCAGATACAACGCTCTCAAACTCTATACTCTCTACCAAGTCTGACTGTAATAAAACATAGTTCATATTCAACTAAACTAGAATAGAGTATAAGGAACAGATAAAGCTTAAATCTGACCAATAACAGGGTCAGGTGATTATAACGTAATGTATGTACATTTAGGTTCAGGTTTCCAAGATATGGGGGTTATTACTCTATTTATTACATGTNGAAAGAGAAGGATTTTGGATCATTATATGGCTAAAGATCCCTATATGTATTCATAATTTTATTTTCCTCTTGTCTTTTCTCTTATGTACATCAATTCTTGTCTAGTATCCATTCTGCACTCCTGCTGGATACTTAATTATCTTGAACAAGTTTCTACTTTCTTCTGTAGATAGCACATCAGGTTTAGTCTTTATTCTGAACCTGGGTACTGACCTGGCCCTGTTTGCACTGGGACTGTCCTTTATGCTATAGCTATGGT